TTTTTTTTTTTTTTTTTCCTTTTCTTTTAGATAAGGTCTCACTATGTAGCCAAGCCTTGAAAGCCACAATCCTCCTAAATCAGCTTCCTGAGCTCTGAAACTACAGGCATGTGCCACCATGCCCGGCACCGACTGACTGACTAATTTTTTCTTTCTTTTCCTCTCTCCCTTTTTCACTCTGTCTCTCTGTCTCTGTCTCTGTCTCTGTCTCTGTCTCTCCCCCCACCCCCGTCTCCTCCCCACCCTTTCTTTCCCTTTTTGTCTTTTTGAGCCAGGGTCTCACTGTGCAGCTCAGGCTGGCTTTCAGCTCACTTTGTAGCCCAAGCTGAGCTTAAACTTGCAACCCTCCTCTTGCCTCAGCCTCCTGAGTGCAGGGCTCACAGGCACAGGCCATCACACTTGGCTCTTTTTTCTTTCTTAAAAAAAAACCTACTCATCATGAATAAAGGGAAGTTGTTCCCTTTTGTAAGCCAAAATGAATGGTAGCTAAGTATGCCTGATGGTATAGCACCTCATAGTATGGCTGCTTCTTAGGAAAGGGTTTCCAAGGTTGAAGAAGTCATTGTGATGTTTCCCAGCGTAACCAAGTGGCGTAGATCAGACCAGCATGTGCAATGACAGTGTGTATGCATCAGGGCAGTGTGATTTGAGTCTTTTGTGGTGACGCTGAACAACTTGTTTTAGCAATCGATTGCTCCATTTTTTGTTTGTGTGTTTGTTTTTTGTTTTGGTGCCGAGGACTGAACCCAGGGCTTCCAGCTTGCTAGATCACTGAAGGAGACAGCAACTACTTTTTTGGTTTATCACGCACATTATAAAGGCAATTCTATTCCATCTCACTTCTTTTATCATTTTCAAAATAGAATTTCCTGAAGAATCATGTTTAGATATTGAGCTTGCATCATAGATAATCGCTCAGCATCGACTGTGCATTAAAACATTCTCATTGCAACACTTAAACTATGGTTCCAATAATTTGGCTTCCAGTGAAATTAAAAAAAGTGAAAACACAGAGGCTCCACTTCCTCCTCTCCAGTGTAAGAGAGCTGCAATGGGTTATTCTAACTGTCTTTTCCTTCTAAGAAGAATTGGTTCATGGCGCAGCTATTATATGACAGGCTTGATTTTGTTGTATTTAGGGACTTACCCACACTACAAAATGTCAAGTAGAGCTTCGAAGTAGTCTTTGCACTACAAACGTGAGAAAACAAAATGACAGAGGTTGACTTGCCTGTGATTGCCTGTCTAAAAAGTCACAAAATCATGTTTTAAATCCACCTCTGCTTCACTTGTTGGATTTTGTTCATAGCTGAATGCAGTTTCTGTTTCTACTTTCCATTTCAAAATCTTATTCTACATTTGTAATCAAGTTGCCCAGAGTATCAGTGAGTGGGCATCTATGGAAACTTCAATACATATATAGTATTTTGGTTTCTATTCTAAGGACAAATTTTTCTTATTAGTTCAAGAAGTACTAATTACAGACTAAGAAATAAGATTCCAACTAGGCACCGCAGGTAAATAAAAAAAGAAGAGGAAGAGTGAAGAACTGATTGCAAATGTCTTACTAAGGAGTAAATGTGGAAAACTATATTAGAAAAAAGAGAAAACAAATGACCATAGAAATGGTTGACGCCAAGCAGGACGGAAGAGCTCCAGATCCAGTGGCAGTGAGCACGGCTGCTCCTCGGAGGCCTTGGACTGCCAAACTCTGGCCCCTGCCACAGCTCAGGAAGCAACGATTCCAGAATCAGATGAGGCTGCCGAATCAGAAAGCGTCTCATAAGTGGAGGGAAATCCTTGCACGAAGACAGAAGAATACAGAATAAACAAACGCATCTCCAATGCGCCCCAGGTTTCCAAGGCTGCGGAAGTCATTGTGGTGTTTCCCAGCGTAACCAAGTGGCGTAGATCAGACCAGCATGCGCAATGACAGCATGTATGCATCAGGGCAGTGTGATTCAAGTCTTCTGTAGTGACGCTAAACAACTTGTTTAAGCAATCAATTGCTCCATGTTTTGTTTGCTTGTTTGTTGTTGCTTTTGGTGCCAAGGACTGAACCCAGGGTGTCCAGCTTGCTAGGCAAGCATTCTACCACTGAGCCAAATAAAATACATCATTGTTACCTAAACTATGTATCACAGAATGAAAAGCGCAAGTTAAAGAAGTAAGAGATTTGTATTAACCACTAATACACACTTTTTAAAAAGAAAACTTTTATTACAGAATACTGTATAAAAGAAAGTTTAGAGCCAGGGAGATAACTCAGCAGCACAAGTGCCTGCCTGTCAAGTACAAGGTCATGAGTTTGATTCGTGGTACCAAAAAATTGAAAAACGTTTTTAAAAAGAAAATTTGGAAGTAAAAAATAAAAGGAGAGATTTTTGTGTTTATTTGTTTATATTCATCTCAAGTAAATGTTTAAAAATTTCCTGCTGCCTGTATGATGCCTGCAAACATATGTGTATTTAATTGTTGCCTTTCATTACCAACACGTTACTAATCTAAAAGAGGTTCATATGTTTTCTAAATTATGTTTGCCACCACATGCTTTTTTTACTGTCCTCTACTATATTAATATGTATTGTACTTTTTTTTCCCCTAAAGCAGAGTAAGATTTACTTTTTAAAACTACAGCAACTGGCTAGATTTCATTTGAAATTTCATGCACTAAAAGCTCTAAATAAACAGATACACTCAGATATAGAAAAAAAAAAAAAGACGAAGAAAATGGGCTATGTGCCTGAGAATAATTCTGTTCATCTTTTATGGCTATGTAACATCTCCTTCTGGGTACAGTCTAAGAGGTGCAGAAAGTAATAGTTATAATATATAGTGAGTCAATGTACAAAATGCTGTCAGTTCAATGACGTCATCCGCAACTGTGCCGGGTGGCAGGGTTTCCTTCTGGAAGACCGATAGCAGCAGTCAATGGGTTCATCCACATTCTTCTTCTGATAACTCAAATAATTATTATCTAAAAGAGTCAAAAAAACAAAAACCTAACCGTGCAATAAGACTTTGTGGAGCACCGAGCCTATTAAGAAATAGCCCCTTTATTTAAGTATCTATTTCTGTATTTATTTGTAAACACATCGTGAATTTAGGTAATATTAATTGCAATTTGAAGAATTTCGAGGAGGGAGACTGAGTAGCATGTCTAAAGGGAAGTGGAGAGGTTTCTTTCAGGCCAGAGGAATTGAGCAGGGGGATAAGATATCGCGATAGACCAGCGGGAATCGATGTGACAGGCGTAGTGTCTCTGGACACTTGCTCTCCTTTACAGAGTCAACATTTGTACATGGAGAATTGTGGCTTGTCACTTACCTGCTCTGACTGGGGACTCAAGGTTGACAAACTAGTCATTTCTAATGGAAGTGACAGTAAGAATCCACATAACACTGTCCTAAGTGTCTGGAACACTCTTCGGACACAAAGCTACCACATGGCCACATTAAAGGAGAATACAGAGGATAGAGTTTTCTCATGCTATTCTGAAAACAAAGCAGCATTCAGTCATTGAGGTTTCTGCCAAAGGCCATTTCAGTATTGGTAGGAAATGCAAAGCAGATAAAAGAATCTGACACTGAAATGGACTTCCAAAAAGAAAAGTGTTCAAGAAGCAAACCTAATATAATGAGGAAGGTGAGAGATACCATAAGGGGCTGAAGTGGGGGAATGCAAGAGAAGAGGACGAGGGGGTGGAAGTGGAGGAGGCCACAGAGCTGGAAGAGTCTTTCTCTCCCACATGGCCTGGATGCCACATGTACCCAAGGGACTTCAAAGCAGAGGATAAATTCCTGATTGTCAATCTTTCAGCACATACTCGTGCATCTGCTCACTGTGCAGGGGGTGTCACACATGAGCTTTTGACTAGATGAACATACACATACATGAATGAATGCATACATGAAAGAAAAAACATGTGACCTGTGCCCAAGAGGCAAAGATAAACTCAAGGAGAAAAGCATAATGAAAATTAAACCTCAGTGCCACTCTTGGCTTCTTGCCTGCCCCAGCCTTATCTGGTACATTCTGACAAGTGTCAGAGAATAATGCTATTTGTCCCGTGTTGCTAGGACAGGGAGGGAGTTATTTCATATCTCACCTTCCATAAGGGACCTTCTTGAGCACCTTGGTTCTAATTCCATAGAGTACCAGCTGGTCTGGGAAAGGTAGGAGGGATCCTCAGAGAAACCCAAGTGCCACCCGGTGCTCGAGCAACAGAGCATCAGTGTGGGTGCTGCATAGAGAAGGTGCCAAGTGCCCCCACCCTTGCCCCTGCGAGCAAGAAGTGCCCAGACAGGGGCCACTTTATAACTAGCAGCATCAGACACAAAACGCATCTTCTGAGACAGTCACAGAGTGCTCTGAACCTACGTATGCAGTAAGGATCTTTCCCAGTAGGGTAGACACGCAGGGGAGAAAGGGAAGGTTTACACAGTGGAGATTGCCCCTCCCAGATGTCCTGCTTGATACTAATCGTGGCCTTGCAACATGCTTGGCGTCACCGTTCCTGATAACTGCTCAGGCCATTCATTGGTATTCAAGAGGATGTTATGATCTGTGAGTCAGATAGCCTCCAGCCTGGACTCTCTCTGTATAAAAAGACATCTTCTGAGGTGAGATATTAGAGGACAAGGTAGTAGAAAGCCACAAGCTTCTCGTCCGGAATCAGAGGTCGACATGCTCCGTGCTGCCCCGCTGCTGCAGCCGCTGCTGCTGCTACTGCTCTGCAATGTGGGGTCCCGTGGCTTCCCAGTAGCTCCAAAACTGCAAGAAGAGGACGCGGAGTTGGTCCAGGTATGTCGGGCTTTGCACATACACGTGATGCAAGTCCTTAGTGTCCCTTTCCCACTGTAGCACAGTGGAGCTATTGAAGGGTGGATTTCCTACCAAGAGAGGTTGATTTGTTCAGAAACAGCAGCTTCCCTAGTCTCTTCTTTCCCAGTGGGAGATGAGGGGGAACTGAGGAGATGGACACAAATCTCTCTTTAGAAATGTGTAGGTTTGCAAGAACGTGTGAACTTCACTCTACATGTCTTGCCCTACTGTGAAGTTCAGTCTTCTTTGTAAGCAGTGGTGAGGGGAATTCTACTCACCAAAAAATGAAAATGCATTTTGTAAACTCGTGATAAGGATGACAAAGACCGTGCGATCTTAACAAAAGCTTGGAATGTAGCTCTCCATCTTGACTGAAACTTCATACTGTCCATTTTTAAAATGAAATAGTTCCCACTCCAATACTTTTATCCTTTACCAGAAATACCTGGACAGCTACTATAACTTGAACAACGTGGGGCCACAAACTGGAAAACAAAAAAGGAGCGTGGATAGCCTGGTTGAAAGCCTGGAAGAAATGCAGAAATTCTTTGGGCTGAACGTGACTGGGAAGGTGGATAAGGAAACCCTGGATGTGATGAGGCAGCCCCGGTGTGGGGTGCCTGATGTGGCCTGGTTCAGCACCATGCCCGGGGGCTCCATTTGGAGAACACACAATCTGACTTACAGGTAACCGGAGTGACTATCAGAATGGGGGACCTGTTTCCCATTGGCATGCTAAGACTAAGGCCTAATATGTCTGTATTATATCTTATGAAGGGTTGTAAGTTACACACCGTATTTGCCAAGATCAGCTGTGGATGACGTCTTTGAGAAAGCCTTTCAACTCTGGAGTGATTTCTCGCCCCTGACATTCACCAAGATCTTTTCCGGGGAAGCAGACATAATGATCAGCTTTCTGAGAGGAGGTGAGCGCTTCCAGCAGGCTGCAAACAGTTTCACCTCACTGTCCCTCGCTCCTCACGCTCCCCCGCCTTGTGGCTGGAGTTCCTTATTGAAGAGGTTATTAATCAGAAGGCAGGAAACTTCACCACACGTGCTGAGGGCCGGTAGCGTCTTAGCCAAGCGGACGCTTGCGGTCCTGAGGCAACCCCATTCCGCGTCTTGCAGACCATGGTGACAACAACCCCTTTGACGGACCTGGAGACAGACTCGCTCACGCTTTCGCACCAGGCCCGCGACTCGGAGGAGACGCTCACTTCGATGTAGACGAGACATGGACCGTTGAGCCGTGGACTGAGGATTATAGCAGTAAGTTCATGGATTTTATTACTCTCCACTCCCATTTCTTTTCATGGTTCATTTCAGTACTGGATCCACTTGACTGCCAGGATGCATTTGTAGAAATGGACATTTTCCATTACCGCTTAGCAGATGGAATGCTTAGAATAGTAGAACAGAAGCTGACTTCGCTAGTACAACCTCTCTCTCTCTCTCTCTCTCTCTCTCTCTCTCTCTCTCTCTCTTTCTCTCTCTCTCTTTCTCTCTCTCTCTCTCTCTTGCTGTACCAGGATTGAACTCAGGCCCTTGCACTTGCCAGGCAAGCACTTATTCTACTGAGCTATCTCCCTGGCCCTCGCTAGTACAACTTTTTATTGGTGACAAATAGGCCACTCTACCATTTCCATTAAGAAAATGTTGAAAAACATCATGGTTTTTTTGTGGATATGTAGTTTGCATCTTCTTTATGAAAAAGCTACATCTAAATTTAACAATGGCAGCAAGCTAATGTGGAAATTAAGGGAAAAAGCTTTTCTGTGTTTTCCAAACTGTCCAGGATTAACCATTTATCAATTTAGTAAATAAATAATAAGTTATAATAAAACTTATTAATATAAAACTTATTACTTCTCTGTGAAAGAATATTAACAAAGTCAACTCATCTGTGCTAAATTGTCAGTCAATACTTAATTGTATCACTATGATGCTAGAGTTTAGGTTTGGACAGCTCTCATTGTTAAAGAATTCCTCTTACCTTCAGAAAAAAGTTTTATGAAATACATGTACATGTTTATGTATATTAATGCATATATATGAATATATATGTTATATATATATATTCTTTAGAAAGTGACCAAGAAAATGTGTCCTTATGGAATTCTAGGTTGCCAGGCATAGTGCTGGCAGATGGCTGCATGCAGGAGACTGAGGCAGGAAGGTCGCCCCAAGTTCGAGGCCAGCCTGGGCTGCATAGTGAGTTCAAGGCCACCTGGGCTACACAGCAAGGCCTTATCTCAAACAATCAACAACAGCAAAGTGTAGATTATATCTTAAATAAATGCCTCAGCATTGAATATACTTTAAATAACTGAAAATGAGCTTTCTTGGCCCCTTAGGGTATAACTTGTTATATGCTGCGGCTCACGAGTTCGGCCACTCTCTCGGCCTGGGACACTCTTCCGACATCTCGTCCTTAATGTACCCCACCTATCAGCTCACCAGCGAAGTCCTCCTGGGAGAAGATGATGTCAATGGCATCCAGTCACTATATGGTGAGAAGCAGAGTGCTACAGACAGGGATCCTCCTCTGGTCCTGCCACATACGGCCAATAGAGAAGACCAACATCTGTGTCCCTTAGGATGTGCTCACTGTTTGTGCAGTTTCCCAACACTAGGCAAAGCTAACTCCCATTTTCTTCTTGGCCTAGGACCTCCCATCAATCCCAGCATCAGAAAAACCGTAATAGCCCCCAAGGTGTGTGACAGGGACTTAACCTTTAATGCTGTAACTACAGTTCGGGGAGAAATAATGTTCTTTAAAGACAGGTGAGATTTCAATTTTTTTGGTTCTGCCCATTTATAAGCTTTATGTACTATTTATTTTACATTGACTTATATTTATAATTCTACAGTAACAATTGATTTTATTTACACAGCATAATGTACTTGAACTTCTTTTTCCAGGTATAGTTTTAGGTCATTTTGATTCTTAGAAAATACCACCTAAGTAGAAAGTCAGTAAATCTAAGCCCATCTTACAGAGAAGGCAGAGAAAAAGAGGAAGCTTCTGGGACACAGAGTTCATTCATGACAGAGTAGTTATTGGTTTTCTGACCCCTAACCAGGGCTTTTTTGCATTATGACACTCTTAAAGATCTTGAGGAGAAAGTAGTCTATTCCCAGCATCACCAGGCTCACGAGGCTGTATAAGTGGTGCCACCTCCATCCTGGAACGGGTGGTGCCCCAAAGCTCACAATTACAAGGCCCTCTGCTGTCCCTGGAAGACTGAAGAAGAAGGAGGAGAAAGAGCTACAGGAGGAGGAGGAGGAGGAAAGAAAGAAGGAGAAGAATGAGGAGGAGAAGGAGAAGGAAAAGGAGGAGGAGGAGAAGAGGAAAGAAAAAAAGGAAGAGGAACCATTGCTGGGAGAACCCTTGGGCCCATGAGATCTCTTGGGAAGATGCAGGCAGCCACGGTTTTGTGTGCCCTCCTCAGAAAAGGATCTTGGAATGGTCCCTGCAGCAAAGACTGTGTTCCTCTCTCATGCACAGGACAGGCTGACCCTTTATACCACAGTGACTCTTAAAGGACCAAGAGAAACAGTACAACCTTGTGAGTGACGCGGCTCACAGACCAGCACAGGAGGAACCAGGCTGGGGAAGCACGGGGATCCCAGAGGCCTCGCCTCGCCTCAGCCACTCTTCCTGGAGCACTGCGAGTGCTGTTGGAGTCCTTTGTGGTCATCTCTATCCCCAAATGCAGGTGCTAGCGCTCAGTGCTTTCTAACTCGTCCCTCACTAGTGTTGGTGTGAAAGAAGGGGCTGGACTTAACTCCTCAGGGTACAGCTCACTGCTAGGAGACACAAGGGCAAGGAAGCTCAGCTTAGCGAACACAACTATCCGAGCCAGTCTTCAGGGGTAACTGCAAAAAACAGCACAGTTGCAGGACCTGGAAGGACACTGTGATGACTTACAGGGCATCACATCAGGAAGACGCAGAAGGGTAGTGACAGCAGCCGACTTGCCCAAGACCTCCCGGCCATGCTGAGGCAGGGCAGGTCCTGGAAGGAGGATTCTAGGTCCGAGGCCTGGAAAGCTGTCCTGCCAGCCCACGTGGTGGTCCGCTCTGCGATGTTGCTGCAGTGCCTATGCACTGCAATCGACTCTGTGTAGCACGTTTCAGAGGACAAAACATTTGGTGGCTGCCAGAGGCAAATTTTAAATTTACCTTTGCTTCTCACCAGCTCTACGGCCTTAGCTCATGCTTCTCTAACCTCAGTTCTTAATCCCATCATAAGAGTCAGAGGCTTTCGCCTTGCTCTCTGTGTTCTTGTACTTATTCATGCCTATTGTATTTGTGTGTCAGAAATAGCGTAGCTGGTGCTCTGCTCTGACTCTTGAAATTTGCCCTGATGGAAATATGTCCAAGAATGAATTAAGCAAATGCAAATAACCCAAGTTTCTGGGCCCCACCCTCTCCTTTGAAGAATCAGATGTTGAAAATCTACAAGTGAACAGACAGAGCCAGCAGCCAGAAGGAGCTGGGTGGGTGTCGGGCAGAGACTGCCAGAGAGTAGGTTGAAATGATTTTTTCTCTTTTCTTATTTTGCAAATCAGGTTCTACATTCGTCCAATGAACAACTACCTGGAAGAAGAAGTCAATTACATCTCTGTGTTCTGGTCACATCTGCCATCTGAGATTGATGCTGCTTATGAATTTCAAGAGGAAGATATAGTCCTGTTCTTCAAGGGTACGGCTCCCAATTCATCTTCATTGTTTTTGCATTTTTGTATTTATTTTGTGGTGAGACATAAGGATATTAACTATATTCTGTCCATGGATTTTTGAAAACCTAACAGTCTCAGCAATCAAATAGATCTGTGGGTACCTTATCAATGAAAACTTACATTGTGTATTTGAGCCATTTTAAACAAAAAACAAAAAATTGAAATAGAACTATTTTGATCAGTTGATGAATGTAGCTTATACAAGTGTTTTGTGTGCAAACTATGGACTTAGACCTCTCTCCATATTACTGGGAGTGCTCAGAGTTTTAGAGAAGCGAGCCAATTCCACGTGAAACGGAACAAACATTTTGTTCTTGGGATTACCTGCACCATCTTACTATGAACCATCTTCTTGGGTAAAGATGAGGAGAGGCCACCACTGAGCAGTCAGGTGACATTGCCACCCTGTTGTTGGTATGGTCCTCCCTTCAGTGGCGCTGGCGTCACCAGGAAGCTACTACAAATATAGAATCTCAAATCCCAGGGGCCGAGGAGATGGCTTAGTGGAATATGTGCTTCCCTCGCAAGCGCAAGGGCCTGAGTTCAATCCCCGGTTCCGCAAAAACAAAAAAAAAAAGAAAGAATCTCAAATCCCATCCAGACCATCTTTGAACAAAATCTGAATTTTAACAAATTTCCTAGGGAATGCATATGCAATTAAAGTATGCAAAATTGTGAATTATTGTGAATCAATTAGGACACATTTTCTCAGTTCTATCACAATAAAACAGAATCCTATGCTTCTGGCTTTGAAGAAATAATTTTGCAAATGTTTTTGGTGTAGTACAGCGAAGATTAAGACATTTCATCCTGCTATACATGCGAAGGGAAGAACAAAGGTCTTCCCAATAGGCAAACACTTGGAAAGGATTTTCTGCCTTTGTTTTGTGAAGTTAGGTAAGGCTTTACATATACAAAGCTTCACGCTGCTTTTTAAATAAGAAGTGAATAATCATGTCTGTGAATAAACAGCAACCCTTGCTTAAGGACGCAAGCCTAGCTGTACCCAATACGGGCTCACTAACTGGCCACAGGGTACATTCACATACGCGGAAAACTATGTTCTACTCAGATGCTACGATTCAAATCAGGGTCACTATGCTTTGCATCTTATGAATCACTACAATGCTCTGTCCTTAGGACACCCTTGGTGTGAACTTCCACTTGGACTCTATATCACTGAGGAAGTGTGACAAATTCTAGCCATTTGAACATCTAGCTTTGGAAGGGAAGCTCTTCTGGAATGGACGTAAACAGACCATAAACATCCTCAAAGCTTGCTTCAGATTAGAGTCACCTAGGAAGTTTCAAAACATACTCGTTTGACTGGTCTGGAACAGGATTCCATTGTTGATGTTGTTAAAATCTCTAGGTGATTCCAATCTGCAGCCAGGACAGTGCTCCAGCATGTGCGCCTGAGAACTCAGCTGGAATTGTAGCTCACTGTCCACTGGAGCCTGGAGCAGTTATGTGCATCTCTGATTTTTGATTGGCAGGTAGCAAGTACTGGGTTGTTCAGGAGCTGAATGAGCTGGCTGGGTATCCCAAGGACATCTACAGCTCCTTTGGCTTCCCGAGGACTGTGAAGAAAATCGATGCAGCTGCTTCTGACGAATACACTGGAAAAACATACTTCTTCGTTGCTGACCAGTACTGGAGGTAAACCTGAGCGTGAAACATTAGGTTCCTGGCCATGGTGCTCCACACGTGTATTCCTAGCTACTCTGGAGGCAGAGGCAGGAAGATTGCAAGTTTCAGGTCAGCCTGAGCAATTTATCCAGAGCTGCCTCAAAGCAGAAAAGAAAACCAGGGCTGGGCGCAGCTTAGTGGCAAAGCACTTGCTTAGCACGTGTGAAGCCCTGGATTCAACCTCCAGCATCACCGAATTAATAAAGAAACAAGGCGCTAGTTCTTCCTCTTTTGAAAGTTCTAGATTTATCCAGCTTGAAGTGAGTTTCAAGTTGCCTTATTCAGCTACCTTTTCTGTGAGTGACTACTGCCAGTCAGCACCCACTTTCTTAATCCATTAATGAGTAATCGTCACAGTCTCTGTGCCGGGATCTTGCAAGCGTGTGGCATTGAATTAAAAGATAGAAAAATGATGGCATTCATCTTTCTGGAGCTACTTTGGCCAAAAGGAATCTTCCGTTCGTGATGTGCTACCTTATTAGGATATGGTGTAGAATTTACTAGAAGATCGAAATTTGAGAGTGTATTTCAAAGGGTTATTACAAATTTTCTAGTCTGCCCAGCATTCCACCTCTCTTCATGCCACTCCAGACTGTACAATCTCTAGAATTAAGAGTTCTTGCTAAAGTCATGCTAGTGTATTTCCTGTAACGATCTTGCAAAGTCTTGATGTTTAGCACAAGGCTCTGACCCTCCTGATCTTTTCTGACCAGGTATGATGAAAGGCAACGATCCATGGATGAAGGTTATCCTAAAATGATAGCAGATGACTTTCCTGGAATTGGCGACAAAATCGACGCGGCTTTCTACAAAAATGGTGAGTGAACACGAAATCTTTCATTTTGGTACCAGAATAATAGCATCAGCATTGCTATTTGAGCAGCAAATACCAAAAATGTTTGTGTTAAAAACTTGAGGTCTTCAAGAACTCAAATTTAAACTAGAAACTAGTTGTACAATGTAGTAATCTTCTTTGTTTTCCTTCTAGGAATTTTTTATTTCTTTCATGGAACAGAGCAATACAATTTTAATCCCAAAACAAAGGAAGTGAGGGTCCTGAGAACGAACAGCTGGTTCAACTGCTGAGAATATTAACAAACCATTAGGAACTTAATGGAAAAAAGTGTTTCATGAGCCCGGGGAAGATGTTTCCTGAAGATTTCTATAATTTTATTTAATTTCTAGGATCGGTGATCCATAGAGCTATTAACTTATATCTACCTCATTTTTATAAGGAAGAGTATATTGTTTTATGTACTAATGTAATTTAACTCCATAAACTCTACCAAAGATGCTCAAGTTCATGGTTCTGTTGTGGATTCACACCGGGGGGTCTTTTATGTATAAGGCAATCTTTAGTATCACCCTGTGATATAAGGAAAAACTTTTCTCACACAAAATAAAGTATTTGTTATATAAAATAAATTCAGCATTGTCTACTCTTTTGTAAGCTTTCTATTACATTTATAATGTTGTTATCCACTGAATATATATATATACATATATATGTATATATATATTTTTTATTTATTTTTTTAGACAGAGTCTCACTATGTAGTTCAGGATGGCCTCAAACTCACAGCAACCCTCCTGCCTCAGCCTCTCTAGGGCTGAGATTACAGTGTGTACCACCACACCTGGCTATCCTCTGATTATAAAGCCTCACATATAAAAATTAATTTTCAGATTTAAGTGAAAACAATATGCAAAACATTCATTGAGAAATTAGTGCATCTAAAAATCAAATTTCTACATTCTCATGGAATTTATATCATAAAATGGGGAAAAAAAATCCTTAAGGATTAAACAATGAAGATGAGAGAAAGGAGAAAAGATAGAAAAAAAGGAAGGAGGGAAAAACACACAAGTATATATACAGGATGGCTGTGATCATTGTACTCATAATTTCCATCAGTCTTTTGAAAATAGCAGTTATAGCTTAGAATTCTCACCTTGACTAACTGTGTGCTGATATCTGCGATCTGAGCAACTACATCGAGGACAGCAGTGTGTAATACAAAACTCATGGTTGGATGCCTGTCATATTGGTCTTCTAAATGTGTACCACTTCTAATGTCTTATCAATTATTATACACTCTTTGAAATAAATTAAAACAAAAGAAAAAAGAGGAGGGGGAGAAATCGATTCCCCTTGTCTTTGTCCCATATAAGGAGTCTAAAACTAGTTTTAGGTTAAAGAACTTGTGCTAGAGCTTCCTAAGTGGACATTACTCTCTCTTCTGAGAACACCGGAGAGGTGCACCTTCCGTAGCCCAACTCCTGGCATGGGGAGAGTAGCAGGGCTTCTAGCCAGGTCTGGCCAGCAGGTTGTGTGAGCAGGTGACGATCATCACTTCTGAACAGAAACATTTCATTACGGGTGTAAATGTCTCAAGTGCTGTACTCGCCTGCGGTGCTAATTGTAAAATCAGGTCCTGAAAGAATGACTATACGATAGAAGAAGCCCTAATTGCAAGCTACCACGCCAAAGTGCCTGCTAAGTTCAGTAGACTTTGCTGAAGGATGAAATAACTTTCTATTTACTAACCACTAGGATTTAACTTCATCAGTGCTGCCTAAGCCAGCTTGTGTAGGTAAGCACTGTCTAGTTTAATAGGACTCAATTAGGAGGAGTCCTGCAGGTGGCTTCTGGGGACCACAGTGTTGTGAGTAGTTGGCCTGGTGCTCACAGGGAGCTGGAGGCTTTCCAAGAGCAGGAAGAGTCTCGAGAATCATGCCGATTCATTGGTCTTTTGGTGGACCCTGGGAGAAAACAGCGGGGGAATTAAAAATAAATAAATAAAGAGAAAAGATAAAGGCTGAGGTCAGGTGGAGGCCTTTGTACCTGACGGGCACAGGATCTGAACAGCAACTGTATGGCATTTTGTTACATCTTTACAAAGTTAGTATCATGAGACACAAGGTTGCCTAGTGACTAACGGCTGAAATTGTCCAGGCAGGATGCTTTTCTCAAGATTGAGGTAGCTTCACTGCTTTAGGCACTGTGGCCGTGTCCTGCCCTCACATATACGACCAATTTCCAACTTCAGTCCCTCCCAACAGAGGATATTATAAGGTACACAGATTTCTGAGGCATTTTTTTTTTAACTCAAGAGAGAACATAACTTCTTCTTTACAATTGAACTATAACATAAATTATAAGTGTTCCTCTCAGTGACCTATCACAAAGTTAATGCAGTGATTCAGTGTCTTCACAGGTCATAAAAAAGGCCTCCCAACAGGATCCTTGAGGCTCTCCTGACATTGCTAAACTCACGTTTTTAGGTTGGTTGTCTGGAAGCAGAGCCTGAAACAGGAAATCCATGGCAGACTCCGTGGAAGAAGAGTACATGCAGGAGAATGGAGTGGGAAAGACGTTTGAGAGTAGAGGAAAAGCTAGAGTGTGCTCTTGGTGGGGACTGCTCAGATCTTGTGAAGAGACAACTGAAGAAAACCTGAATCAGCGCATGAGGGCCTGGCTTTGGTTGCCCTCTTTCCTTCAGTTATTAACAAAAACCTGGTTTGGAAGAGGGGAGCACAGCTTGACAGGTGAGATGCTTCCACGTGGGAAAGGAATGAGGGAAAATTAGGGCTCATAAGCTCCCAACAGGAGCACGAGTATTCTGATGTCACTGCCTGGTGTCCTATGAGGTTGAAGGATGAAGTTGCAGACAAGAGATGAAGTTAACAGAAGTCTTTATTGGAAGTTTAAGAGAGAAAATTCCAGAACCAGCAAGCTAGCTCAGTGGACTAAGCACCTACTTTGGTAAGCACAGAGACCAGGGTTCGATTCCCAGCCCTGCATGCCATGCCGGCTCTGCCACAGGGCACACTGAGTGGCCCACTGAGTCTGGGCATGGTGACACATACCTGTAATCCCAGCATGAGGAGACTGAAAACATAAGGAGCCTATAAGTCTGAGCTGTTCTGGCCACAGCAGCTCAACATAGACCCTGGGTATGGACTCTCCATGCTGCAATACGACCTATAGAGAAACAAAACATGAAATGGTTGTACACACTCTGGGCAGTTAGGAATCTTGCTGTGCAAATAGGGAAAATGAATCAAATGTAAGAGGGGGCAGTTTCACTGGTCACTTCTCCTGTTTGGCTTCTACAGCCTTCCTCAGCTCAGCATTCCTGAGCTTAATGATCTATATGGCTTGAGTTTATCCTTAACCCTATGTACCTACACTTTTTTAGATAAGGCTGACCAGCCCAACTGCATCTTAGGCCCTGTCCCTCACTAACTGCCTCTTCATAAACTAAATAGCTACACTACCTCTTACACTGGCACTAAAGGAGATCTGATGAGGCACCAACAACTTTCACTTTTTGTTCCGTATTTCCCAAAACTAACCACTGCACTGAGCTATGATGTCTCAGGTTAAATCTCTCTATTTATGAACTGAATTGTATCAGATATGTTTTCTCTTATATCTGCCTTATTGTGACCAATAAGGTAAACTGTTTTTGGTCTTCACTCATTTCAGAGGGACTTCATGCTGTCACCACAGGAAGACAGGATATATATACGCAATCCTGCATGTATATAGGCATCTCTGTTGGTTATACCCCAAGACTAAAACTGCTGAATCCCAGGCATTTTCAGACATATGTTTCCAGTATCTCATGGGCTTATCACAGTGACTGGTCTTGTACAGGTATAAGAGATTGAACCCAGAATCTTTGCACTGTGCTAAGTTACATACCCTGAATTTTTTTAAAAAAATTTTGAAACAGTCTGCTAAATTACTAATATGCTCAGGCTAGGTTCAAATCTATTGTCTTTCTGCCTTGATCTCCTAGGATGCTGGGATTCCAGGCATATGCCACCATTACTCTAAGGATTTTCTGGTTTTCCTGTTGCTATTGCACTATGGTCTCCAATAGAACCCAGTTAGAACTCATGTACACAAAACCTACAAATGAGAAGAAGAATTATTGGTAGAGCAAACATTATATCAATGTGAGGAAAGTAGATGAGTAAACGCATCTGTCTTCCTATGTGGAAGTGTGTTCTTAAGAAGTATTCAGGGTCAGGGAGATGGCTCAGTAGGATAAGCACTTCGCTGGCAAGCGCAAGGGTCTGAGTTCAATCCCCAGTTCTGAAAAAAAGAAGAAGAAGAAGAAGAAGAAGAAGAAGAAGAAGAAGAAGAAGAAGAAGAAGAAGAAGAA